GTTTTTGTCGCTCGAATGCATCTTATTATTTCTTCAAGGTTCTTCACATACGTACACCTTAAGAAATATCAATTCGGCATAACATGCTCTCAAAAAATTAGGATTGACACGAAGAAGGATTTTGAGTCAGAGATTTTGCTGGTTTTGGCACGCACTCACAAAAAGGTTGCCCACCCCTGCTTTAGGTCTTTGGTAGGTCTTTTATGCTGGAGACCACCCATAGCAGCATTAGCATGAAATGCAAAAGAGACATTGGAAGGCCAATGGACCTGGATCTCAGCATAGATTGCTCCCGTTGTGATGGTGATGGCGCGAGGCGATTTCCTGACCTGATCATCTGTACCTGGTTTCATAAGCTTTACTGAGCTTTACTTACTTAGCTTACAGAGCTTTGATTCTATCTGCTCTGCCTGCATGAATTGCTAAAGGGCAAATGTGTAACCAAACTGAAAAAAAAGCAGGCAGGACCCAGACTCCCGGAGTTCCTCTCCTTGCCAGAGGTTCCACCTGGGCTCCCATGCCTTAAAAATTCATATTTCTTGTGCAGTATCTTCCTCGTACATCGGCCCTCCTACGGGTCATCCTGAAACCCGCCGTGCAGGTCCCGGCACTTTTAGTCTGCAGGACTGCCATGCAGGCCTTCCCTGAGCTTGTCCGGTTAACATGCGGCCCCTTTCTTCCCCAGAACAGACCACTTCAGCTGTGTGTGGCCGATGACAACAGAGCAGGGTCTCAGGCAGCCCCTGCCTTACAGGAAATCCCAACTTTCTGCAGAGGCACAGTCCTCGTGAGTGGCATTATCATGAGACTTTGCATCATGAGTCTTTAGTTATTAAAAGAAAATCAACGTGGTACAATTTGTTTACACTATGATACCTTCTAAGTAAACTATTTAAAAACTTTTTATTCCACCCAAAATGGTGATAAGGATGAAGAACTGACCCGAATCCAAGGCCCCGGTGAGTTAGTGACTGAGCAGAGAGCCAGCCTCTGACCCCTGGGTGTTTCCCTGTAGCCCAGGTGGGAGCACAGCCTGCAGACCCAGGAGGAACCCTCCTCCCTGTCTTCTCAGCTCCTGCCAACTGCGGGTTCCCAACAAGCATTCGGCCAACTCGCCCCCTTGGGCAGCAATACAGGCTAAAGAGAGGCTCGCCTGGGGCAGACCTGAAGGCCCCACAGGGTCATTTGAAAGGGAAATGGAAAACACTCTATAAGTCATAGGATTTTGAAGAGCCAGAAGAAGTAACTTCTTGGCCAAATTTCATTTTTAGCCAAAACCTGATTCTTAGGTCATCAACCAAAGACCTTGCATGCCTTTATGCATAACCCATGGAGACAGACAATAGGGTGCTGAAGGCCTGGGGCGGGGGCAGTCTGCAGGGGATCAATGGGGGGGAAGGGGGACATATGTAATACTTCTGACAATAAAGAATTTTTTTTAAACTGACTTCTTGACTTTTCCTACATAGCAGCCAAATCTTCCGGGCCCAGCTCCAGTCAAACATGACCCGGACTAGGAGCGCCGGCAGGGGGAGTACTGGGTGGAGTAACAGGCAGTGCGGGTGTTACACTGTTAGGAAGTCGTCGTCATCACTGCGATGCGATCTAGCAGTGAAGGCAGCTCGGGTTAAGGAGGTGAGGACTTGGGTAGCAGGACAGGTTAGCGCCAGCTGTGGGCAAACTATGGCCCGCGGGCCGGATCCGGCCCGTTTGAAATGAAAAAAACTAAAAAAAAAAAAAAAAAGCCATACCCTTTTATGTAATGATGTTTACTTTGAATTTATATTAGTTCACACAAACACTCCATCCATGCTTTTGTTCCGGCCCTCCGGTCCAGTTTAAGAACCCATTGTGGCCCTGAGTCAAAAAGTTTGCCCACCCCTGGGTTAGCCCTTTGCAGAAGGTAGCATTAGAGCTACCTGGACCTCGGGGAAAATGACACAACAAAAAGGAAAGACAGCCAGCGCTAGGTCCACCTTGGATGCCTGACGCCAAACAGAGCAGCACAGCACCGCCCTGGCCTAGTAAACCCTGAGCTCACCCTCCTGGGAGACCTGGCGCCTTTTTTTCCAGAAAGTTGAGCTGCTGGGAGAGCTGATGCTCAGCCTGAGGCCCAGGGCCAGGCCACACAGATATGGCTGACAAGTGCAAGCTCAGGGAGGAGAAAGATGAACTGGGCTTGAGGCTACAACAGAAAATACTCATTGAGAAAACAGACGGTGGCCAAACAAGAAACTGGGAAGATGTAAATCAGGCATCGAAAAGTCTTCACATGAGGCCTTCTACCAGCTGGGACCGTGACTTCAGTCCTTCCATGTTGCTCTGAAGGCAGCTGCGTGAGCAAGAAGCAGGACGGGTGCCTGACCCCGCAGGGCAGCCCTCTGCCCAGGACCCACCAGGCTCCCTGATGGCACCACCCAGGCCGCTCAGAGCCAGGC